GAAAGAAGGAAGGAAGGAAGGAAGGAAGGAAGGAAGGAAGGAAGAAAAAAGGGTAGGCTGGAACAGGTAGTGTCCTGACAATGTAACTTATGAGACATTTAGAGGATAGCTTCACAAATGTAACCTGAAGGTCAGCGTCAGACATCACCCGGGTCTTCCCTAGTGGCTGTGTTAGTAGGTTTTTTATTACTGTAATAAAATGCCTGAGATAATCAATTTTAAAAGGTGAAAAGTTTATTCTGGCTCATAGTGTTGGAGGCTTCAATCCCTGACCAGTCGGCCCTACTGTGTCTGAGCCTGTGGCAAGACAGGAACATAACGATGAGAGCACATAGCAGAGGAAGCCCATGCACTTCATGTCTAGCATGCAAAAAGGGGAAGGGAGGAGGAAAAGAGTAGGGTTCCACAATCTCCTTCAAGGATACATCCCCAGTTACCCAATGACCTCCAATAGCCCCGCCCCACCTTAAAGGCAGTATGCCTTCCTTTTGGAGGTCATTCTGACATCAAGCTTTATACATGGAGCACTGCAGAACAGCCAAGATCCAGACTAATAGCAGTGTTTGGTCCTCTGCTACAGCAGCCAGGACAGCATGCACAGCTAATGCCAAGACAGCGGGGAGAGAATGCTAAAGTAATGCCTCCCTGATGACATCCGGAAGTTTCACCCAAGTCAGGAAAGACAACATCCTTCAATTATAGCAGTGATGAATCAATAACAACCCATTAATCAACTAATGAAAATCATGTAGAAAAGAATTACAGTTATTCAAGACAGATAAACATTGTTTTATCCTTGGCTGAGCTGATCTGAAAAAAAAACGGTGAGACAAACCAAATTGAACTTCTTGCCATTTACGAATATTTCCTTCTTCTGTTAGCAACCTGGATTCCATGAAACTAGGAACTAATTTCTGTAGCACCTTTGCAGCTTGCCAACACATTCACTGCCAGTTTCCTTTATCTAAATGTCTCTTTCATTAGCCTCATTTCTAGAGCTTTTTGCTAGGATACAACTAAATGCCTATTCTGAGAAATGAATTCTTTCTAAAGTATAATAGATGCTGCAGTAATTAGGAGTGTAACCCATCCAAAGATGTTCATGTGTTAATCCCCAGCACCTCTAAATGCACCATTTTGCACAGCAAAAAGGATTTTCCAAAAAGATTGAGGGTAAAGAACCTGAGATGATAAAGGGCAGCCCAAACTAATCATATAAGTCCATTAAAGGGGTAACTACCCCCTGCTGCGTCAGATAGAGGAAAAGAGTCACTGGCTTTGAAGATGGAGGATGTGAATGTGAGTCAAGGAATGTGGGTGGCCTCTAGGAGCAGGAAATGGCCCTCAGTGACAGCCAATAAGGAAATGGGACCTTAGTCCGACAGCCAAAGCAACTACATATGGCCAAAAACTTGAATGTGTGAGGAAACAGATGCACCCCCTAGAGTTTTCAATGAATATGTGTCCCTGCTGACGCCTCGATCTTAAAGACTGTCAGATACATGTAAAACCTACAGACTTATAGGCTGGTAAGGTCTGTTTTCTAAACCAGTACATATGGAGATTTGTTATTTTCTACCAATAGAAAACTAATACCAGTGCTAACATAAGATTCAGTCCATGGGATTTCACTTTATTTTTTTAAACAACTGTTACAGTACAGTGTGAAAAAAAATTGGGTGTATTTGGGAACAGGCAAGTTGTTTTGCCACAATTTATTTCCCAGGTCTGTCATCCTCTTTGTTTATTCAGGTGTTCCATGAACATTATGCAGCTCCTACTCTGTGCCAGGTGTGTAGCTCCCTACACATATGCTCTCCTTAGATTGTGTCTACACAATTCAATGTGTAAATCAAAATTTCTATGAGTGTCTACTATATAGTAAGCAAAAGTTAAATTCATTGTAAGTTTCTTTTAGCTACCTGTGAAGGCTGAGCATCTTGAGATTTCAACTTCCACAAAGAATAAGTGAAATCAGGCAGCACTGAAATATATCTTCACAACAGCACTGTCAGGTATTATTCTTTCCCTTTGACATATGAGAAAACGTAGGCTCTGAAAAAAAAAAAAAAGAGAGATGAACTGCATGAGTAATACCACCAGTAAGTGATGGAACTGCATTTTAAAAATTGTGGTTAAAAATATGTAAAATAAAATTTGCCATGATAACTATTACAAAGTATGCAGTCCAGCACATTCACATTGTTGTGGAGCCAATCCTGTCTACTTTTTGCCTTGCAAAACCAAAAATCTGTACCCATTAAACCACTCTCCTTTCCCTCCTTCCCCTATCTCCTGGCAACTACCATTCTATTTTTTACCTCTATGAATCTGACTTTTCTAGGTAGCTCACATAAGTGAGATCATAAAGTATTTGCTTTTTACTAATTAATTTCACTTAGTACAATGTTCTTTCCTCCATGTCATATCAGAATGTCCTTCATATTCAAAGCTGAACAATATTCCATTGTATATATTCATGACATTATATTTATTTATCATCATTTAGTCATTTGTTTACCATCCACATATTGATGGACACTTGCTTCCACTTTTGTGCTCTTGTGAAAAGTGCTGTTATGAACGAGGGTATACAAATATCTCTTGGGGGTGTGTACACCAATGGAACACAGATCTTGAAACTAGAACACAGATCTCTGTGACTCAGATGGCCATTGTTCTCCCAGGGTGCCACATAGCCTCGAGTGAAATTATAGCCTTCAAGGCTGCAGCTAATGACATTTATGGAATTTTTGCCCACATTCTGTTCCACAGAAATCAGTTTAAACAACTTTTGTTCTATGACTATTCAGTGCTTGAAATACAATATGACATACTGCACCAAGATTAAAACTCAAACTCCTTGCCCCTTGGTGATGCCCTCTGCCTGCTGTTCTAGCCTCGTTTTTAACCAGTTGCTGTGCTTCAGGTATGCTCGCTAGTGATGTTCTTCAAACATATCAAGTGTGTCCTACCCCAGAGCCTTTGTGCTTGCTGTTCATTCTCCCTAGGACTTTGCATAACAGGTTATTTCTCATCACTCAGGTCTCAACTCAATCACTACCTCCATGAGACCTTCCTGGATGACTCTAGGTAAAGTAGCCCTTATTATCACTATCAACTTGTTACTGTTTTATTTTTTCAAAACCAGCCAACATTCATTCTGTTGTCCTTGTTTTCTAGTTTATTACCTGTCTTCCACACAAGAATGTAGCTTCCACACAAATGTTACCTGTCTCTTTTCCTGGACATCTCATGTGTAGAAGCATGCTTGGTAGAAAGTGATGCTTATTACGTAGTTGTTGGATGTATAAGGATCTTTGTTACAGAGTTGCCTATTGGATCATGAGAAAAGGAAGTCATGTAAATGTTCCTTGGTAAGAAACGATTAAATAAATGAAGGTACATAATTTTGAAAATTCTACAGCCATACAAGAGAATTAAGGAAAAAAAAGAAATTTAGATGATCATCAATCTTGACAGGAAACAGTATCTTCAAAGTATAGTTGACTTTTTGAAAAACAAATTGTAAAAAAAATAGGTATAATATAATTTTAGTTTTATAAAATATCAAAATATATGGTGCGACACACATATAATCCCAGGATTCCAGGAGGCTGAATCAGGAGGTTCATAAGTTGAACCCTCACTTGAGCAACCTAGTCACTTAGTGAGAGTCTGTCTCAAAATAAAATATAAAAACAAGGCTGAAGATATAGCTCAGTGTGAAGGCTCTGGGTTCAACACCCAACACCACAAAACTGGGTATATATAAATATGTATGATTGTCTGGAACTACTATATATTCACCAGTATTTATTCCTGGGGAGACAAGACTGCAGAAGGAGATTTTTTTTTCCTTTACGTCCTCTGTATTATCAGAATGTTTTGCAGTTAGTTTCAGTTGCTTTTGTAATGCAAAGAAGCCTGATGAGTTTATGGGAAGAGTATACTGGTGTTTGTAAATTACTCTGAAATATATAAAAAAAGGATGAAACGACAGATGAGTAGAGAATTAGACAATTGGATATGTAGTAGAGCAGGAGTAGCAAAATATTCCTTGTAGAATCTAGATGGTGATACATGGGTGTTCCTTGTACAAATCTTTCACTAGTCTGAGTGTTGAAAAATATTTGTAATAAAATTTGAGGATAGAAATCTTAGTGTTTATTTGATGCACATTTCTCACTTGCCCATTATGTGTCAGGTATGCATTGTTTCCTGGGTTTAATTTCACCCATGAAGCAGCACAAGGATCCAAGGCCCTCGTCTGGCCCTCCCCCTTACTCATACAGCCAGTCCACAGACTTCTTGGCCTCCTAGAGCACTCGGCAACCATGCTGTCTTCATATGAGTTTAAAGTTTTCCTATGTTAGAGACCTCGGTGTCCTAGGAGAAGGCTGGGTCAGAATACCAAAGAATTTGTACTTGTTCAAGTATCAGCAGAAAACAGGTAGCACATTCAGATACATTTGACTGGGAAGAGTTGGGTGAGAGGAAGTGTTCAGAGACGGGGTTTGAATCAAGGGAGCAGCCAGGAATGGCAACCTGCCCGGGCAACCATCACCATCCCAGGGCTTAGGAAAGGAAGGTGTTTTTTCTTGGCTCTGCCCAGTGGAAGCCATGGCTCTAAGAATTCTCTTCTGAAGGTGTGGTAAAGGTACATGGAAGGGCTAGCACCGTATTTCTGTCTTTCCCCATGTGCCCATTTTCTGTTGATGCCTCTCACTACCAAGCTCCCTCGAAGTAAGAAAGGAAGAGCAGCTAAGTGACATTGTCTTTGAATATCAGCATCCCAGGACTTGAAGCTGTACATTTCATGGATCAGGAGATCCGTAGGGGCAAAAAAAGGACCAAATATTACACTGATCAAACTGATCCTATAATTTAGCATCCAATGCAGGTCACCTAGCAAATGAAAGAAGTTATCACTGAAAATTGCAGCAGGTCTCTCTACAGGCAAAACCAGAACTGTGTGGCCCCTTTATTTTCAACGCAGATTCCAACTCCCTGATTTGCTGATGCAGTCACAGAAGAGACCAAGAGTAGTAAAGTGACCTCACGAAGACTGCCCAGAAGGTCACGGACAGGAATAGGACAGGCATTGTCTGCCGGATCCTTGATTTCTCACTATTTGGTCACTCTGGGGCTGCCAGAGCTGCCTGACTTCTCACTACAGTCAGCCTCAGCAAAACACCCTGCAACCTGCTGCAATTTCCTCATGTGGTTCTGAGGAAAGCACCAGTCATTCTTCTGTCCCAAAAAGCCTGTGGTTGGGAGCTCCTCTTTGTTGCTTATTTTTTCTTCCTCCTTTTTGTGGTTGAATGCTGGGTTAGTGGCTGGGGAAGCACTCAGGTGTTTACTGGGTTTTCACTGCTGTTTCATTACATAAGTGAAAACTTGCAATGGGGAGAATGAAATGCAAATGAGAGCTAGCTGACCCAGCTACTTGCTGGTCCTGGAGGGGCTCTTGGCTACCTGAGTCACTGTCACAGCTTGGCCATCTCATCACTGGGAATGGGTTCTTGAGTACCAGGAAATACCCATTCAGTGACTTCTTCATCCAACTACTAGTTCTTGATTATCTTCTAGGTGTCATGCCTTGCCATTATGTACATAATACATGAAGGTGGATAAGAAAGACATGGTCACTGCCTGCATGGAAATCACATTATGGAAGGAGTGGATGCTGGATAGTAGATAAATATACAAATGAATTCATTTCAAACTACAGCTAACAAAGTAAAGGAAACAAGATGCTCTGACAAATAATTATGATAGCCAACATTCATTACCAGCATCCTTTCTCCACAACCACTTTGTAAGATAGCTATTATTACTATTATCTCCATTTCTTGGATATAGAAATTGAGGCACAGAGAGGTTAAGTGCTTGCCCACTGTCATTCAGCTGCTATGCCTTAAGTACTGAACTTGCACCTGGGAATCAAGCTTCAGAGCCTGAGACATAACTACTGCCTCTCTTCGGGAATGGATGCCCTAAATGGGTCAGGAAAGACCTTTCTGAGGAAGTAGCCTATAAAACCGAGATGAGTCTGAATGAACCATGAGAAGAGCTAGCAGAAGAATGGAGAAAAAGAAATCACCGTATCACTGTACAAGGGGTGGGTGCTAGGGGATCCTGGAGTGTTCTGTGATCTGTCTGAAGGTCTGGTACATTGGAGTGGAAACTAAACTTTTTTCTAGATATATCTTACCAAGTGTCGCTACATTCCTACATTTTCTCATTTGGCCATTAAACAGCCTGGCAATGCCAGTCCAGTGAGTGCCATTATCCACATTTTATAGAATGCACCACATAGTTTCTGGCAACTTAGGGTTGGAGATGACACTGGCTCCAGGACTCTGGACCATGCCAAGGGCTCTTTCTACTCAACCTCTCTGCTGAAGATCAAGTTACCACTTCCTCCACTGTCCCTTTGCTGCCCTATGCTCTGCTCACACCAATGCACCATGGTATCCCCAGCACCTCTTATTTCATTTTCTGCCTTCTCCTCCCACCTCAGAATGTACCCCTCCAGCTGCCTTCACAATTTAACTTCTAAGGAAATCTACTGAACAAATCTTTGCTCATCAGCTAATGTGTAATAAAGCCCTGTTGGAAACCTGTAGTCAACTTGTCTTACATGCATGTGTGAATTTCCAACAGCTTTCCTCTTCTCCCAGTCACAAAACCTGCCTCAAGCTATTAGCTCCTTCACTGCCAAAGTACAAGTCATTAGTTGATTAACGGCCTGTTCCCAGAGGAGTCTGGCCAAGGTTTGAGCCCCGGGCCTTTGGTTAACAGGTGGTGCTTTACAAATGCCAATAAACCAAGAATTGTTCCAACTAGCAAATTGCTTATCTGTGAATAGGATCTCACTCACCTTCTGAAATCAGCTCGAAGAGATAGGAGTAGTAGGCCTAGCTCCCCCGGGGATCACAGGGCCTCAGCATGGCCCAAAAGCCCTCCAAGCCACCTTCTTCCCTGCCTCAACTTGCTCCACTCCCACCTTGACCTTGGATTCCAGATAAACCAGATCCTTCCTAGCTCCTGGAGCTCACCGTGTGGTTTCATGCCTCCACGCTGCCCACACTGCCTGTGACTCCTTCTTCCACCAGCCTTTACCAGCCTCTCTCCTTTACATCTGCCAATGGGCCGGGGATACAAGCACCTACCTACATCTGCCAATGGGCCAGGGATACAAGCACCTACCTACCTCTGCCAAAACACAACTCAGACACCACTCATTCGGGAAGCCTTGCCTACCTGTCCACATCTCACGAAGTCAGTTACATGCCAAGCTCCCAGAGTCAGAATAAGTAACGTTCTTGGAATACATAAGGTATATCACACACTCCACTAAGCCCTCTATATGGGTTATCTCCATTTGACAGCAATTAAAGGAGGCAGAGTCCAACATCTCCCTGTTTAATTATTGAAGAAATTGAATCATAATGACATGCTCGTGCTTATGCTCTGGACTTACCCTCACAAGTACCATTGGACACATACAGTCTACTGTCCTCCTACAGCTGTATACCAAGGACATACGCTTGCTCATTGAACTTTCACAACAATCTTACAGAATTTAGTACTGCCAGGTTAGTGTTACTGTTACCCCTACTTTGAAAATAAGAGACATTTAACTATTTAGCTAAATCACATATTAAGCAGATCATATCACATTGTACTTGAATTGCCTAGATTAGCTCAGACTGCTCATAATCTGACACGTTGTCTTGTCCCTTTTCATAATAGCAAATACTATATCGTTGGAGATAATCCAGCAAAAACAGGGGTGGCGGGACTAAAACACACAGAGCATTTCCCAGCCTCCTTGGTAGCAGATAAAATGCAAGACAATATCATGGGGTGGGGCTTCGGGGAAAGTGGTTTTAAGTGAATGTACTGTGATCAGTTAACACCATTTTGCATTTCTCACTTTCTTCTTCTTCCCAGTTGGGATGCAAAGTCTGGATCTCCAACAGCTAGCTTATCACCATAAAGCGATTCTATTAAAACTTGCTAAGCAGAAGAATAGAAGGAGTTTGAGTTCCTGGTGACATCACAGAGCTATCAAGCCAGCCCAGCTCCAAATTTAAAAGAATTTAGAATAAAAAGACTCTTGATTAAACCTTTGTTACTTTGATTCTCTATTATTCGAAGTCAAATGCAATTCCGTACTAATTTACTGTTGTCTGGCCACTGAGGTGTGAAGTCCTCAGGGTGAACTCGCAGCCTTGTCTGTATCAATGTCCCTAGCTTACCACCTGCTCATTGCATTCACATAAATCAAGCCTGAACTTCTTGCCTTTCTCCCCCTCTCCCCTTACTCCCATGGAGATGAAGGTCAAGTTGGAAAAACAGACACCTTCCCTTATGTCAGAGGCCCAACTTGAGGGAAGGATGAAGGAAAGCAGGACAGGGGCAGGTGGGTCCAATCTCTGGAGCAGAGACACTAGGAAGAACCAGTGCTGGCTGAGGACCAAAGAGCTCCACTTGCTCCTCCGCTTCAAGCAGTGGTGTGTCATTTCCAGTCTGGGAAACCCAGGGCCAGGAGCCAAATTAAACGTGAAGTGTGAGCCAGAGCCAAATGCAAACATGCAAAACAGCCAGGCTCCCTCGTGTTGCAATGAGAGCTGCATTGAGAATTGCCTCACATCCACCTGTCTCTTCACCACACTGGAACCCCGCCACAAGGCTGCTGATGCAAGCAGGGGTAAGACTTCCCTTTCCTGTGCCTCTGGGATGAGTGCATTGTCTGTTGGGGAGGTCAGCCTATTCAGACCTCAGTTTCTGTATCTATGTAGTGGAACTAATATTGCCTAAGCCTGCTTCCATGAAGGAGCTGATAAGAGGGTTAGGTATAAAGATGGTCATGGCTGAGTGTAGAGCCTCCACTTCCACAGTTACAGAAAGATTCTTTTTTTTTTTTTT